AGCTGCCATAAGTCGCCGGCAACGGGGTAGGCTGCAGCCCCTGCTGCAGTGGGCTGCCATAAGCTACTGTGAGTGGCTGGCAGCCAGCATGAACTGCCAAGAGCCACTGTGAGTGGCCGTCCAGAGGCTGGCGACCGATCTGCCTCACCCAGGAAGAGCACAATGATAATACCAACATGGGCCAATGAAGCAATGTCCTCCACAACTAGACTGAAGAACAAAAGGAAAGCAACTTGTCTGTTCCCCTTCCCCAATTCCCCAATGCTGTTCCCCTCCCCCAATTCCCCAATAAAAATTTTCAAAAAACATAAAAAGAATACATTAGAGGGAATCAACAGTAGATTAGATGAAGCAGAGGTTTGAATCAGCAATTTGGAAGATAAGATAGCAGAAGATACTGAATCCAAACAGCAAAAATAAAAAAGAATTCAAATAAATGAGGATTGTTTAAGGGGCTTCTGGAACAACAACAAGGATACCAACATTCACATCATAGGGCTACTGGAAGGAGAAGAGAGAGAGCAAGAAATTGAAAAGCTATTTGAAGCAACTGTGACAAAAAAACTTCCCTAACCTGGAAAAGGAAATACACAAGCCCAGGAAGTGCAGAGAGTCCCAAACACGACGCACCCGAATAGTCCCACACCAAGACATCATAATTAAAATGCCAAAGGTTAAAGACAAAGAGAGAATCCTAAAAGCAACAAGAGAAGCAATCAGTTATCTACAACAGAGTTCCATAGGCTGTCAGCTGATTTCTCATAAGAAACCTTGAAGGTCAGAAGGTATTGGCATGAGATATTCAAAGTGATGAAAAACAAAGACCTACAACCAGAGTACTCTACCCAGCAAGGCTACCTATTAAAATCAGAAGACAGATAAAGAGCTTCCCAGATAAGAAAAACACTAAAGGAGTTCATCACCACAAAACCAGTATTACAAGAAATCTAAGAGGGACTTCTTTAAGACAAAACAAAACCAAAAAAAGGATAAAAATTATGAATAATAAAATGGCAGCAGCTACATGTCTATCGACAATCACTGCCAATGTAAATGGATTAAATATTCCAATCAAAAGACACAGGGTGGCTGAATGAATAAGAAAACAAGACCTTTATATATGCTGCCTACAAGAGACTCACTTCAGACCCAAAGGCACACATACACGGACTGAAAGTAAAGGGATGAAAAAACATATTTCATAAAAATGGAAATGAAAAAACAAACAAAAGCTGGAGTAGCAATACTTATACCAGACAAAATAGACTTTAAAACAAAGGCTATAACAAGAGACAAAGAAGGGCCCAGAATCCTCTTTCTGGGTATTTATCCAAGGAAACCCAAAACACTGCTTCGAAGGGACATGTGCATCCATATGTTCACTGCAGCATTATTTACAATAGTCAAGATATGAAGCCAACCTAGATGCCCATAAATGGATGAATGGATAAAGAAGAAGTGGTACATATATACAATAGAATATTACTCAGCCATAAAAGAAAATGAAATCTTGCCATCTGCAACAACATGGATGGACCTAGAGGGTACTGTGCTGAGTGGAGTAACTCAGAGTGAAAGACAAATGCCATATGATATCACTTATATGGGGAATCTAAAGAACAAAATAAATGAATAAACAAAACAGAAACCGACTCATAGTTACAGAGAACATTTCGATGGTTGCCAGATGAAAGGGGAGGTGGGGAGAATGAATGAAAAAGGGGAAGGGATTAAGAAGCATAAATTGGTAGTTACAAAATAGTCATGGGGCTGTGGGGTACAGCATAAGGAATATAGTCAATAATATTGTAATAACTATGTATAGTGTCAAATGTGTATGAGATTTATTGGGGTGATCACTTCATAAATTATACAAATGTCTAATCATTATGTTGTACAGCTGAAACTAATATAATATTGTATGTCAACTGTAATTGAAAAATAAAACTAATTATTAAAAAAAGAAGAGTACAGTCAAACAAAGAACCCAGTAATCATTTCATTCACTATTTTCCCACACTTTTCTTGAGCTTTTCTTTTGAGTCCAATAGCATCTGCTGAATAATTTTGTAATTCCCTATGGAGTAAGAAACCAGAAATTAACTATAAATTTCCATGGACAACTTTATAGTTCATTATGGAGTAGGAAACTAGATATACCTACGCATTGCCAAGATAAAGTTAATATTTATATAAGACAAGCCATATTAATAAATAAAGATGGTAGCTACTTAAACAATGTATCACAGGGGCTTTGAAAAAATAATGCCTAAAATTCCAGCATTGCAGATTATTTTGTCTTAAACTATGTTTAAAATATAACCACTACTGGATAAAGTAAGACTTTAAGCATTGGAAGTAATTTATACAGTGGCATATAAACTTACCGTATTTTGCAGTATATAATGTGCATTTTTTTGCCCAAATTTGTGAGGAAAACATAAGGATGTGCATTATACATGGGTAGTACTAATTCCATATCTATATAAATGTTTTTAATTCTTTTATTTATACTTATGAGCTAAAAGTGTAAGTCTAGAAATCAATAATGATATCCATATGCAAAATAACACCCTGGAATACGATAATTGGTTTTGTTAAACTTATGAGGAACTTGCAATGGTGAAGAGTTCTTGGCCTTCTAAGATGTGTAAATATGGTAAATGTGTTACTGGTACATAAAATTACTTGTACCACAATATATTAAAACATAAATGTTGAAATTCCTTTATAATACAAAAAAAAGTACCTAAATGTAAACAGATAAACATTTGAATTAAAAATTAAAACGAAAGATTTTTTTCCCAGAAAGTTTGGGCCAGAAACGTAGGTGCACATTATACATGGGAGTGCATTATACATGGCAAAATACAGTAATTCAGTCGTTTACTGACAGCATACTTCAAAAAGAGGAGGATGGAATGAAATAAAACACAGAATGGAGAAGACAAGAATAAAGAAGATAAACTTCACATACTATCAATTTTGAGACAGCGCGCATCTGCATATTGCCATTAGATATTTGACACATAATAAATAGAGAGGTTATTGCTGTTGGTCTATGTGTATGAAGGCTAAAATGTGAAGAAATAACATACTAACATTTTGAAGCGTAAGGAGTGTAATTAAATGGGATGGCATAAGAAATATTTTAGCAGAGTGCTTGAGAATAAGAAGTGGTGATGATGGTAATAGTTTCTGTTGTAATTGCTATAAGATTAGCTTTAAAGCTGAATGTCAATTCAAGAAAACATTGTTTGGTTTTTGTGTGTGTGTTTCTTGACAATCTGGTAAATTTAATCTTAAAACATTAAAATCTTTAAAGTGAAACTTTAAAATAATTGTATCACATCTTTTTCCAAATGTCATGAAAAAATAAATCGTGTTCTAAGCAATGTGAGTAGAAGACAGATAACAGAAATATCTAAAGGAATATGGAAAAAAATCCTGAATTTACGAGTATATTCAGGGGAAGTGGGCACAAGTCTTGATTTTACCACTTTTAAATATGTGATTCTGAGCAAGTCTTTTAACATGGCTGAGCCTCATTCTCCTCACCTATATAATGGTGATATTAATTTCTATTGTAATCTACCTTCAAGAAATACTGCAGGGCCGGCCGAGTGGCATGATGGTTAAGAACTGGCTTGGGACGCCAGAGGGCCCCGGTTCGGATCCCACATATGAGGGCCAGTGACACTGCCCTCCACAGCTAAGATGCTG